CAACATTGTTCTCTCTTACGAGAGAAAAATAAAGCCTACCAGAATGTAAATAGTAGGTTAATTGAGGGACTTAAAACTAAATATAGAGAATGTATGAGAATTCTTTATAGTGCCAAATAGGTACCCCCACCGACTAAAAAGGTAAAGGAATAATTAATCTTTTTCTTTCAATAATTGTATTTAAATAGTCAATGGTCTTTAACTACACATTTGAATTTCCCATATCCTTCCAAATTAGACTCGATGAAGGGTTAATACTCTACTAATAACCGTTTCGTAGGTCTTTTACTTTTTGTAAAAGCATTTATTTAGTAAACTACTCCAAATATGTTCAAAAACTGCTTATTAGTTTCAAAAGTAGTTTTTAACTCTTTAAAAATTTTGCCAAATGATCCCCCTACTTCTCTCTTCTTTCATTTTTATATATTCGATGATTAGAACCGTGGAAAGAAAAATTTATAAATACTCGATAAATAAGGAGTGTTTGTTGTACTTTACGACATATGTATTATGATTTAGAATAATGCTGAATATATACATTCAGTTTAAAAGCCCCTTTACATGGGGGCGGGGTTCGCGATTTTTAAAATTGTGGGCTCCACCCTCTATGTGAGGGGGCTGTCACTCATGTTGTACACCAAGACCAAGACCCTTGGTGTACATCAAGCATGGTTCTATGATTTAAGAGTAACAAATGATAACCTATGTATAGATTAGAATTACGAAATGATTAAGGGTATCCATATATTCAATAATTACCATTTATATAAAATTAATATATTTCTCATTTATTATGAAGCCCCTGTTTGACCCCCATTTTTGACAAAAAATAAATTCTGAAATAGTGATTGATGGAAGAATGTGTGGTTAAAAAGTAATGAGAATTTTTGGGTTTATGTGTAGTATTATTTTATTGATAGAATTTGTGGTTGAAATGAAGAAAGAGAAAAAAAATGAGAATAAGAATGAAAAAAAAATGAGTGTCAAACAGGGGCTAAATAATAACTCGATTTTGTTATTTATGCCACATTGGTCAATGGGTTGAGACATTGATCAGCATGCAAATCTTGACCCTTTCCAACATTTATTATCAATCAATTGTTTTGAAAAAAAATGAACACTCAAATTTTCTTACGCT